GGAGGCAAAGCAATTTCTTACGCAGAATCAACCTTGCTCATTTCGGGAGTGGTTCCAATTTCCACCCTGCACACAGTAATGGATGTAGAATGCCAACAGTTTGCAACAGGAAGGGATGACTCCATGTTTACGTTTTTAAAGGAAGAAAAAGACTAAGTCTTGGTTTTCTTCTTGCTGAGCAGCTTGACCACAAAAATCTAGTCCTTCCCACAGTTCCAGTAATGGGGATCCTCACCTCAAATTTCTGTCTGAGCTCCACGTTTCCTTCTTCATCCCCTTCTGGAATGGGTACATTGTAGTACTCACCTTCTTCTTGGTTCAGCAACTTGTACCTTGCAGAGACACGGGGAGAAGAGGTGTTAGGGGCCAGCCACGCCTCTCCTTCAACCTCTAGACCCGCTGTTCCCAAAACATGTCCCGTGGGGTAGCTATGGCCAGATTACACTGCAACAGCCACTGCAGACCCGACCTGGCTTGTTTTCCAAATCTCTAAATGCTCTGATGTCTTGAAACCATTTTCCCTTGGTTTCACACAGGCGTAATCCAACTCCAGGGGTTTCCTTACCAGCCGCTCGCAGGCATCTTCATCAGCTCTGACACGCCGAAGGAGAGGGAGCCCATGAAGTCATTCCTTGTTGTTCTATCCCAGTCCCAGATTTCTACAGACAGTCGTCGGTCTTTATCTGAAGGTTTCAATTTGCTACAAAGGAACACAAACGTACTAGGTTATCTTGATCACTGTTCTTGGGAGCCACCATCACCTCACACTCCAATCTGAGAGAGTGCAAGTCCTGCATTGCTTAAGGATAGGGATGCTTTTTGACAAATGTGCTGTTAGGTCATTCCGCTGTGTGAATGTAATAGCAGACCTAGTGGGATGGCTCTCTGCACTTGTAGGCTGCACAGAAGGGCCTAATGAAGCCACTGTCATAGATGCTGTGTATTATTGGCTGAAACACTGTTAAAGTCACACATGGCTGCGTTCAATTTTCTTCCCGTGGCTCCCTGTAGCCAACGAAGTAGCAGGTGCCAAACTCTAGATCAGGGGTTAGCAAACTGTGATCATATGCCAACTTTGGCCCACTACTTGTTTTTTTAAATAAAGTTTTATTGGAACACAGCCATGGTCATTTGTTTACATCTTGTCCACAGCTGCTTTAACTCTAGACCGAAAAGAGTTGTGTAGCTGCCATAGGCACTAAGTGACCCACAGAATCTAAAATATCTACTACTTAGCCTTTGCAGGGCAAAGCTTTCCGGTCTTTGTTCTATACAATGAACTTTCTGGCTGCCTTCTAGGTTCTAGTCTATGAACAGGACTACAGGCTGCTGGTGCTTTCTCATCCTTGAATTCGTGCTTTTCCCTCCTCCCATCTTTCCCTTCTACCATCTGTACCTCTGAAACCCTGGCAGGAACTCCTTCAAGATACACTGTAAATGCTCTCTCTTCCAGGAAGTCTTCCCAGATTAAAGGTGAAGAAGATCTTCCATTTCAGTGGCAACAGCCACTGCCTGCGCTACTCACTTATTCTGTTTAAAAATTATTTAAATTCTGGGGCTCTCCCTGGTGGTGCAACAGGTTAAAGCACATCATTATGAAGC